CCTCCTGCAAATTCCCTGGTGAAACAGCTGGTTCACCCACAAGAGCTCCCTGTGGGTGTTAGAGAGCAGCAGCTGCTTTTGATGTGGGCTGAGACCAGACGCTGCGGTGCCTCTTGCAAGTCAGGGCATGGACCGCCTCACCTGTCAGCATCACGAGGCAAAGAGGTGAAGCCAGACACACCTGGAACAGGTTGGGCTCCCAAGGCGGACAGCAGGTGGAACGCACGTGCCCAGGCTGTCTCTCCCACTTTAGAGCCTGCGATGGGCAAACCTGTCCATCTCGGCTTTCTAATCTCTTCCCACATTGGTTTGAGATTTACCTGGCTGAAAGAACTGGCTGCAGCTTTTCCCTGCATTGGTTACTTCAAGACTGGATTGCTGCAGTGCACTCACTGTGGGGCTTCCCCTCACACTGCAGTCAGAAGCTGCGGTCAGTGCAGAATGCTGCAACACGATTGCTGACAGGAGGGAGGCCCTGTCAGCATAGAAAACCTGTGCTCAGATCTGCCCCAGCCACGGATTTGCTACCGGGTCTAGTTCAAGGTGTTAGTATTAGCATAAAAAGTCCTTAACAAATTTAACTCTACCTGCGAGATCGCCTTACCCCATTATATGCCCACTTGACCGCTGGAACTCCCTGCCTATAATAATAATAAACAATAATAAATTTTTATTTATACCCCGCCCTTCCCAGTTCACAAACCGGGCTCAGGGCGGCTAACAACAAATTTAAAACACTTAATTGATGCAACAAAAAAACAGCATAAAATATGGTATAAAACGTGAATAACGATCAATTCAGAATTGAAAAATCAATTTAGGGGGGGAAATCCATCCAATAAACATTAGATGATCACCAGGGCTAGCTGGCTAAATTAGTCCTATTTGGGCCAGCATGGAGACAGGGGAGAATTAGCTGTGGGATCCCAGAGCAGGCAATCTTAATAAAAAGGGGAGGGGGAGGGAAGGAAGGGGAATAAAAGATCAGGCTAAGTTCAAGTTGAAAGCCAGGTGGACTAGCTCTGTCTTACAGGCCCTGCGGTTAAATCCTGCAGGGCCTTGGTCTCATGAGACAGAGCATTCCACCAGGTCGGAGCCACCACTGAGAAGGCCCTGGCCCTGGTGGAGGATAATCTAACTTCCTTAGGGCCCAGGACCTCTAAACTATATATCAGGCAAGCAGCTTCACTGGACTTTCTGGTGTATGCTAAAAACATTTTTGTTTAGGCAGGCCTCCCAGACACGTAAAATGTGGAGGTAAGTTTTAATCCGCTTTTAGTTTATTGCTGATTTTATCTTTTGAATGTTTTAAAGAGTTGGTTTTACTGATAATGTTCTATTCTCTTTGTAAACCGCTTTGAGGATTTTTATTTTTAAACAGTCAAGAAGTGTATCAAGTTTATGAAATAAATGAATGAATGAAAACTCATTTAAATGCAATTCACCACCACTACCAAGACACATATTTTGGGATGCAATTTTGCCTGAAAAGGCACCATTTTGCATAGCCATATCCTGTAATATAATGCATTTGTGTATGTTCTTATCACAAATCTAGAAATTTGTAAGCGCAACAGGTTATTCAGTGGGGGTGTTTTTGTACGCATTACTAGGCTTGCAAAATTCAGAAGCGTGCAGATTTCAAAGGACAGCCGAGTTTCAGTTCTCCTCTTGTTCCAGAAACATCTAATTAGGGTGGTTTGCTTTGAAATGCAAACTGAATCCAATTTCTCCCCCACCCCAAAGGTGGAACAAAACTCCCAGGGAAGCGCCCTTTGCAATGCACCCGACCCAGGTAAGGGGCAGAATTCAAGTCTCAGAGGACAGGACATCATACAGAGTGGCAGGAAGCAGACTCCTCTGATTGGATACTCTGGGTTTATGGGTGCCTGTCCTCTCAATTCTGCCCCACTGTGATTGGTCCAGGCTCCTATTGACCCACAGCATGCACAATCCTCCCCCTGGCCCCTTGCTATCACAGAGAATGAGAGATCAGCAGCCATAGCAGGGAAGCCCAAGTTGGTCACTTCCAAGGCCATTTTTAAACTTGCCACACCTAACCAGCTGGGGGAGTCTGGGATTCTGCTGCAAAGCTTGGAGCTTAATGTACCCCTTTCCGCAGGGTCAAGTTCACTGTATGTACGGTGTTAAAGGAAAATATTATGAAAATGATGTATAGATGGTACTTAACCCCTGTAAAACTAGCAAAGATTTACCACAAGAGTCATAATCTATGTTGGAAATGTAAAGAAAAAGAAGGTATCTTTTACCATATGTGGTGGACTTGCCCCAAGATGAAAGACTTCTGGGAAAAGATTTATAATGAATTGAAAAAAATGTTGAAATATACATTTATTAAGAAACCAGAGGCCTTTCTACTTGGAATAATAGGTTTGGAATTGCCCAAGAAAGATGTTAGATTGTTTTTGTATGCCACTACTGCAGCTAGAATTTTGTTGGCCAAAAACTGGAAATCACAAGAAATACCAACAGTGGAGGAATGGCAGATGAAGATGATGGATTTTTCGGAGCTAGCCAACCTGACTGGAAGAGTCCGCGACCAGAAGGAGGAGTATCAAGAGGAATGGAAGAAATTCAAAGACTATTTAGTTAAATATGTTAAAATAACTTAAATAGAAATACTTGCAGGTATCAGATTGGCCTAGGATTTAAATATGTGATGTCATAGAATACTATGGATAAAAGTTAAAATGAAAAGAAAGATGTTAATGGACTAGGTAAATTTTATGTGAACTCAGTTTTGGAAAACTGTTACAGTGATTTATATGGAAACTCAGGCAGGGGGATTTGAGGAAGTCACTTAACAATGATAACAAAAGTGGAATTTTTACAGTCAAGATATGTGTTTGTTTGCTTGTCTTTTTCTTTTCTTTTTGATGTCTTCTTTTTATGTTTGTGGATATGTTTGTTATAAATTTGGAACCAACCCCCCCCCCAAAAAATGGGGGGAAAATGTACACCTTTCCTCAGCAACGGCACCACAGGTGAGCACTTTTGCACACCAGGTGCTTCCCACGAGACAGGTGGGGAGAAGCCTGCCTTTGCATCCAGAGATGCAGAGATTTTTGGAGCCTTATCTATAAAAGAACCACCTTTTTCCCTTGGGGAGGAGAGGAACCCACATTGCTAATGGAACCCCCCTGCTCAACTAACCTGCTCCACTACTTGTCCTCCCTAGACCTGGGGAAAAACGTAAGCAGGTAACACACCAATTACAAAAAGGCCAGTCAGTGTGTGAAATGTTTTGAGGTTGTGTTAGAGGGACACGGGTGGCGCTGTGGTCTAAACCACAGAGCCTAGGGCTTGCCGATCGGAAGGTCGGCAGTTTGAATCCCCGCGACAGGGTGAGCTCCCGTTGCTCGGTCCCTGCTCCTGCCAACCTAGCAGTTCAAAATCACGTCAAAGTGCAAGTAGATAAATAGGTACTGCTCTGGCAGGAAGGTAAATGGCGTTTCCGTGCGCTGCTCTGGTTCGCCAGAAGCGGCTTAGTCATGCTGGCCACATGACCTGGAAGCTGTACACCGGCTCCCTTGGCCAGTAAAGCGAGATGAACACCGCAACCCCAGTCGTCCGCAACTGGACTTAACAGTCAGGGGTCCCTTTACCTTTCTGGCAAATTCCTCCCACCCTGCACCTCCACCTGTGGTTTGTATAGCTACAAGATGGGATTGTTGTTGGGTGGAGGGGAGCTAGAATGTCCAGCCAGTGGTGTCCAAACTTTTTTTCAGAGTGCCAGATTTGATGAAGTGAAGGGCCTTGAGGGCTGACCAAATAATATATTAACCTTTTTCTAGGATTGAAGTTGTTGAGCTTTTTTAGGATTTTACCCCAAAGCTGTTTTTTTAGGATTTTACCCCCGGAAATAAACTGTCACAGGGGCAGATTAAACTGACCGCCTCCGTAAACAGACTTTGGACATGCCTGGTCCCTGGTCCAGACCAATTCTTTTGTTGCATAAATAGCTTAAACTGGCTGTGTTAAGTATCTGCTTTGTTATGTAAGCTTGGGAGCAAAGTGTTGCCACAGAAACTAACTGGCTGGAGATCTTTCTGGAAGCCGAGAGGAGAGCACGTGTGTGTGTTTGGGAAACAACAGTAAGCCAGCCAGTTTTGCAACTGGGGCGGACACGGACACACACCCCGCAGGACTTTTGTCTCGAGGCAGAATCCAAATTCCACACCCCACCTCCATCCCCTTCCTAAAATGCGTTTTAAAAACCAGCACACAGGTTAGTGCAGGTTGCAAAATGCTGCAGCGTAATTGCTGACAGGAGTGGGGCCTCCTCAGCATTCAATATCTCTGCTCAGAAATCTTCAGCAGTGGTCAAACCATTGTTAAAATGGTTGGATTTAGCCAAAGTGGCGAGGTTGTTTAATCATGGGAAACATCACTGGTCAACTTTTACCAAAGATTGGAAACTCCTTATAGACTTTTTGCATGAAAAAGAACTTATGTTATCTGGGGTTTTGAGGAAAGAAGAAAATATTGGTTTATACAGTAGAAAGAGGAACTGTTAGGTGTTATTTTGGAATGGATGTTTTGAATCATTTTCTCCATATAGCTAACAAGAGAACTGGAAGTTTCCTTCCCTCTTTTCCTTCCCTTCCTCCGCCCCCCTCTGCTTTCATTCTTCACTCCCCCCCTTTTGATTTGTGTTTTTTTTCCTCTCTTTAAATAAAAAGATATTGGATATTCCATCTTAACGTTTCTATTATTTTCCTTCAAATCTGAATAAAATATATTGGTGGGGATAAGAAATCTGCACTGGTTGCAGAGTTTCTACTGAGCCAAGTTCAAGTTGGTAGTTTTTTTTTTCTTTTATTCCAAGTTCAAGTTGTTGTTGATTTTTTTCTTTTATTCCAAGGAAACCTAGTTGCTCTGAACACTCAGGAAAAGCAACCCAGGCATGGTTTTTTTTAAATAAGTAGGTTCGTGGGTGATGCACGAACAGTAGAGAAAGTAACACACATAACAAAAACCTCATTTGGCAACCATTCACGGTGACTTTTATTGAAACCAAACATGTGGCCCTCCTGTCCTGGCGAACAGAGACCAGGCTATGCGTTGTCCCTCCGACACACATGAAATGCTTTTAAGTTAAAAAAGAAAAGGCAGAACATTTGTAAAAAGGGAAGAGGAGAACGGGATGGAGAAATAAAATAGAATTCACACATTTCGGGAGATGCCTGTCAGGCGGGCATCAGGAATCGCAGTGGTAGGCGGGTCTTCCGTCGCTGGTCGCCATGTGCCCCTCGCCCGATGTGGGCAAGTGGGGTAGAGACCGAGAGAAGCCGCTATGGGGCCCTTGACCAAGGCAGCTGCCCGCTGCCGTTGCGCCCGGCAGGCTCTGACACCGAGGTGGCTCCCTTGGGCCCGGGTTCAGCCTGTTGGTGTGGCGGCAGCTCATGGAGAGATGGGCGGGCGTCGAGGAGGTGGGGCGGCCATAGGGGTTGTTCTGGAGGAAGACGACGAGCCCGTAGGAAGTGCAGTTCGGGCCCAGCAGGGTCTGCCCGAAGACGGAACTGGCCCGGCCCACGTCCGCGTTCCCCAAGGGGGGCGTCGAAATGGGCGAGGTGTGAATCCACGTCAAGTTCATGGCGGGCCAGTCGCCGCCCAGGAAGCGGGGAGTCTCCCCCAGCGGAGCGGTGGTTTTGTCGCCGGGGGAAACCAGGTCCCCGAGGTGCGTCTGGTGGAGTTCCTCCGTGGGGGGGCTTTGTGCGGGGCCCTGGGCGGACGGCAGCCGGGTTTCAGGGAGGTTCTCCTCCATGGATGACTGCTACGCAAGAGGAAAAACAACATGGTGTCAGAGGTTGAGAGGCACAAGACTGAGAATCTAAGTAGAGCTTGTTGGATCAGGCCAAGATCAAGCCTGTTTTTTGTAAATACATGTAATTTTTATCTATTTTCAATTACTAAAATCCAATATAAACCACATTTTATAATAATAATAATAATAAATAAAATAAAATGATAATGATAATGATAATGACAATAATGATAATAAAACAATAAAATAAATGAATAATAATAATAAAGTATTTATACCCCACCCATCTGGCTGTCTTTCCACAGCCACTCTGGGTGGCTTCCAACAAAATATTAAAAATACAACAAAACCTCACACATTAAAAACTTCCCGAAACAGGTCTGCCTTCAGTCTTTTATCAATCTCAGATTACAATTCAAATATATATCAATCATAAAGCCAATTATACATTTTGTGCGGCCTCCTGCGTGCTAGATTTCAAGGCGAGATAATTTTATTTCACTCTGCTTCCGAAATTTTAATTAATCCAATTGCACTCAGTCTTGATCTTAATCCCTTATCAACAGCTACGGAGTTTTTGACTTCCATTCGTATTAACACATTTTATTTCAGCAAGAGGAGTTCTGTATCCCATATAGTAATGTTTGTGATGTCAAGATCAAGCCTTTCAACCTTGACCTTCTAGCTTTTTACACGCTGGGAGAATTTCCATGCAGTGGGGAAAAGTATTTAGGAAGGCCAAGCCTGGAAGTAGACAGAGCAGGGTGACTGAGATGATCGAGGGCCTGGAAACCAGGCCTTATGAGGAGCGGTTGAGGGAGTTGGGTATGTTTAGTCTGGAGAAGGCAGAGAAGCGACCTTCAAACACGTGAAAGGTTGTTCCAGGGAAGATGGAGCAAGCCTGTGTCTGCTGCTCCAGAGCCTAAGACCTCAACCAACCGATTCATGATAGTAAAGAGTTAAAAATCAAGATGTGGAAAATATGGAAACAACAAAGAGAGGCAGGATTGAGATTTGGAGATATGCTTCAAGGTCCAGACTATGGGAAGTCCTGAAAAATTAATAATTATAATTTGGTCTTTTTAATTTTTTTTTATTTTAATTGGATTGTTTGATATGTTAATTGGATCTTTTTTATTGGAAAATTAATAAAAACGATCTAACAAAATAAAATCAAACAAAAAAAACAAGATAGTGGCTGATTATTTTTGCTCAAAAGAAATACAGGAAAGAGGAAGGGGGAGAGTCTGCTGTATCTCACCTCGGCTGTATCGCACGAATCCTGCGTTGCGGCCACACCACAGTCAGCGCACGCATTCCTCAAGGCGATGTGGGGGAACCAGAGTTTCAGCATCCTCTCCACCTGCAGCAGAGTACCCAGGTAACGCTCCCTGGAAAGGAAAAAAAGGAGAACAAGTTCGTAAACACCTGGGGGCCAGGCAGCCAGAAGCCCCGAAGAGCAGCTGTCATGTCACACAGTTGGCAGCAATGGGCTAGATCAGGATTTCCCAAACTTGGGCCTCCATCTGTTTCCGGACTACAATTCCCATCATCCTTCACCTGCTAGCTAGGGATGATGGGAACTGTAGTCCCAAAACAGCTGGAGACCCCAGTTTGAGAAACTCTTGAGAAAGATGGATCAAGAGCCTGACTTAGCATCAGGCAAATTCCACAATTCCTCATTGAATCGGTCCATTCTTTCATACCATGAGGACTAGAATCTTGCTATTATTTTTAGGGGAATTGCATGGCATGGACGAAATGGACAGAGGAGCTTTTTCCTCCTTTTCTCGTAAGACTAGAACTCTTGGCGATTCAACGAATTCAATGATTGGAAAAAGAAAAGCACTTCTCCACAAAGAGCGTAAACTACGGAACTCCCTCCCATTTAAAGGTTAAATCAGCCTTTAAAAGCCGAACCGGAGGGGATTCCTTCCTCCCCCTTTGCTGCCAGGTTCTTACCCCATTTCTGGTTTCTGGAGAACACCAATGATGCGCTGGATGCGGTCCATGGCTACACTCTGCTGGAAACTGCTTAGCCCTGGAAAAATCAAAGACAGAGAGAGAGAAAGATTAGTCCACCTTTCCTGGGCATTCAAAGTCCTCTCCTGATCAATAAAGGTTCACAGAGACAGGAAGCATCATGTTAAAGCAAGCAGCCAGGGGACTCACTCACTGCGTCCCCCATCAAAAAGTGTCCCCTTACAGACCTCGAAATTTACCATCTGGGGAATGGGAGCAGGCAGTGCGTGAGAACGATTTTGGAGCTGGAAGATATCCCAGCCCCTGCCATGCAGGAATTCTTATTATTACTAGGCATTACTTATTATTATTAGATAAAGGTAAAGGGACCCCTGACCATTAGGTCCAGTCGTGGCCGACTCTGGGGTTGTGGCGCTCATCTCGCTTTATTGGCCGAGGGAGCCAGCGTACAGCTTCCAGGTCATGTGGCCAGCAGGACTAAGCCGCTTCTGGCGAACCAGAGCAGCGCATGGAAACACCGTTTACCTTCCCACCGGAGCGGTACCTATTTATGTACTTGCACTTTGACGTGCTTTCGAACTGCTAGGTTGGCAGGAGCAGGGACCGAGCAACGGGAGCTCACCCCATCACGGGGATTCGAACAGCCGACCTTCTGATCGGCAAGTCCTAGGCTCTGTGGTTTAACCCACAGCGCCAGAGGAACGTTTTTGCCAGGCGCCTAAAGATATGCAATGAAGGCCCCTGCCATGTGGAAAGGTTGCATCTGCTCAGCTGGGAACACCCGCTGAGAGGCCACAGGGAGCTAGCTGCCTTAGACAGAGTCAGATCCTCGGGCCTACCTAGATGAGTGTTTTTGGCACTGGCCGGCAGTAAAGCCCCAGGGTTCCAAGGCAGGGAGTCTATCCATAGCCCCATCTGGAAATGCTAAGGTTTGAACCTGGCGCTTTGTGCTCGCCACAAAATAACAGCATGGTTCTAGTCCTCATGAAGGCAGCGCTGAATGAATTGGGAACAGAGGATGCTGCCTCCTGCTGAGTCGGACTCTAGGTCCGTTGGGCTCGGTGTGACGCTCCTCGACTGACCTACAGCTCTTTCCTTAAACATAAAGCAAGTTTCTAGTCCTCATGGTTCAGATTTTAGATAGGAAGCTGTATTATACAGATGCTTTGCTCAACTACCTTAATACTGCCTACACGGACTGGCAGCAGCTCTCCCAAGGCTGCAGGCTGGGGACATTCCCAGCCAGGGGTGCAAATTTAGACTAGCTAGTACACACACTTCCATCAGGCAGCAGTAGCTGCGTCCTCAGAGCTCAAGGGTGGATTTCCAAGCCAGGTGAAAATGCTACAGGACCGGGGAGAAAGCCCAGGGCTGGGAGGGGGCCATGGCCTCGGGGAGCGTCCCGAGGGCCAGAAACAGAAGCTCTGAGGGCCGCACACCTGGATTCGCCTCAGCAATGAAAACCGGGTTGCAAAACTTTTCGGCGTAACTTCCTCCAGCGGAATGACAATGGCTAAATCCTCACCTTTTTTTCTTTGCACCCCACCCCTCAAAAAAAGACCTTTCCTCTTATCCTCCTCCGACACTCTACACTTTTCCTATTCTTCCCTTGCAGAGAAACAGCGAAAGCGTTCGCGAACCCTGCTCACCTCTCTTGCAATAGCACTGGCAAGACTGTGACGCCCCAAAAAGCCCTGGAGGGCTGTTGCCAGTCAGTGTAGACAGCACTAGCTAGATGGTGTGGCGGCCTGACTCTTGGTGAGACAGCTTTCTGTGCCCTTTGGAGCTTTTAAGGCAGCAAACTGAAGAACAGAACTGAGAATCTTCCAGGGCGGCCTTGCAAAAAGGATTCCCTTTCATCCCGTAAACGGGAACTTAGAACAAGTTTTCTGTGGATGGCTCCAAGTCCAGCCAACAGGAAGGAAGAGCTTACAGCACATACCTGACAGCCACAAAACTGATGCTGCCTTTTTATTTTATAAGATTTACAGAACCAACGCACTGCAGGGGTTGGACTAGAGGACCTTCAGGGGTCCCAACTCTAGAATTCTATGATGGGGAGGGGGGAACCCCTCAAAGTGGTTTACAATTTTTTTTAAAAAAGGTTAACAACAATCTAAGGCGGTGGTTCTCAACCTGTGGGTGCCCAGATGTTGTTGGACTACAACTCCCATCATCCCTGAGCTCTGGCCTTTCTAGCTAGGGGTGATGGGAGTTGTAGTTCAACAACATCTGGGGACCCACAGGTTGAGAAAGGCTGAATTCTAAGGCTTTTGAAAAGTTAAAAACTACATTAGACTAAAAACGGATTAGAAGGAGTCTCAACGTTCTGCATGTCAGGATCTAGGCTTGTCTAAACAAAAACGTTTCCGGCAGGCACTGAAAAGAGTGCAGTGAAAGCGCCAGCCTGATATTCAAGTGGCAGGGAGTTCCAAAGTGGAGATGCTTCCTTGTACATCTCCAATTCAAGCCTTGCCCCATACCTGGCTGGGACCACACAAACAGATGCTCAAATCCGAACCAAAAGAAGAGGGGCGGGGAAGGGGAAGCTGAATTTCCTCAACAACTCAAAACATCCAGCTGCCAGACTTTCTTACCTCGGTCGAAGCGGCCCATCTTCAGCCGGTTGAGAAGCTCCACCAACGGATGGATGAAGCCCTGGAGTTCCAAGCACTGTGGAAAACAGGGGGATAAAAGGAGAGAAGCGTCAGCAGGCTGAACCAGGCAGGAACCTGTAATTCAGGGACCAACCCGGTGCATTGCAGGGGGTTGGAATAGATGACCCCTGGGTGTCCCTTCACCCTCTGCAAATCCACAATTCTAAGAAATGCAAAGTAATGGGTCCTCTGCACAAACTGAGCAAAATAAGAATGGTTTCTCCCTTTTTACATAACATATACGGCATTAACTAATTTTTAAAGTTGATTTTTAAAATTGATTTTACTACCAAGCACGTTCATTCTCATTATTTTTTTATAACTGAGCACCTCCTCTTAGTTACAGAGACAGGAAAATTGCACGCAGGACGCTCAACCCCGTAAGCACGACAAATCCTGCTCACAACGCCCTCTCTCTCGCTGTTGCGATATCGCTTGGCATCGCCAAGGGCTGGGCAATACAGTCGTATCTTGGAAGTTGAGCGGAATCAATTCCGGAACTCCATCCGACTTCCAAAATGTTCGGAATGTGCGGCTTCTGATCGGCTGCTGGAAGCTCCTGCAGCCAATCAGAAGCTGCGTCGGACATTGGGCTTCCAAAAGAACGTTCAAAAACCGGAACATTCACTTCCGGGTTTTGATCGTTTGGAAGCCAAGGCGTTTGTGATCCAAGAAACGAATTTATCTGTCTTCCAACATCATGATATATCATCAGCTAAATAAGGCATCGGCTGACTCCACGCTCGTTCCCACAGTGTGATTTTGGCCCAGCACACAAACGTGATGATTTGCGATAAAGTGGTACCTCAAGTTAAGTACTTAATTCGTTCCGGAGGTCCGTCCTTAACCTGAAACTGTTCTTAACCTGAAGCACAACTTTAACTAATGGGGCCTCCAGCTGCCGCCGCGCCGCCAGAGCCCGATTTCTGTTCTCATCCTGAAGCAAAGTTCTTAACCTGAGGTACTATTTCTGGGTTAGCGGAGTCTGTAACCTGAAGCGTCTGTAACCCGAGGTACCACTGTACATCGAAAGGCCGGAAATTATGAAACTGGTATCACAATGTGGACTTCGGACCGATTTTTGGAGGGTATCGCCTAGCCCTAGAATCACCTATGCACTCCCCAGCCATCCTGAGGACTATAAGCTTGCGTTTTGATTTTGTGAATCGACTGACTCCGCCATCTTTGGCCACTGACCTTCTGTGCGAAGATATGGTCCCTCTCGGTCCAGCAAGGAGAGCGTACATCCTCGCGGTCCGCCACATGGTTCCTCTGCCTCTTTACTCCACGGAGAGGCGGCTGCGCTGCGTATGGGTGGGGCTGGACGCCCCCATTCTGGCACCTGCCGCTCTCTGCCCGTCTTCGGCTCGCGGGATTCCTCCGCAGGCCGCCGCCCGTATCCGCCAAGCGGCTATAGTACGCTTCGTCGAGGGCCGCCGGGTGACGGCAGCAAGGTCCCGTAGGCCGCAGTCTGGCCGCAGCCAGCAAGCCAAGCGGCTTCCTCGTCCGGCGATTGCGCTCCCGGCAAGGCAGGCTTGGAGTAGTCCGCCCCAGCGGTTCCGGGGAGAAGAGGAAAGGCTGCCGGCTTGGGTAGGCACCCCTACGGTGCTTCAGGGGCCCCGACTCCTTCTCCGCGTCGCTCCCGCCGTCCGAGAAGACGTCAAAGTCGGCGCTGCGGTCGTCGTCGTCCTCGCTCGTGGCGCTTTCAACGGAGTACAGAGACTCGCCGGAAGAGACGCTCTTTGAGGAAGAATCCATGGCTGCCATTGAGATATATCTGCAGCAAAGGAAAGACACGGGGAAAGTTAACCAACGCAGCTTGCGGACAGGCAGTTAAGAAAACATTTAGCATTGTTACTAACAACAATAACCGATTTTTCACATGGCACTTTTGGAACTTGCTGCCTGTTGACATCAGGCAAATGGCTCTTTTCGGAGCCTGCTAAAACCCTTTTTTTGTTTTGACGAGCTTCTGTACAGGCAGGTGGAATGCTAAGGCATGTTCCAGTCTGTTTTTTAGTTTATTTATTCCCGGTTTTATTTATTTTGCCTATTTATTAAATGTGCAAACCACCCTTCCTCTGAAGAGCTCAGGGTGGCTCACAGCACAACAACACAAACTAAAAACAAAATATGCATCACAAGAACAGAACAAGCCCATTATCCCTACTCTCACAAGCACAATTTAAAGGGATGTAGAATATTAATCAGCAAAGAGTTGCTTTACTGACAAGTTTTCTCCCCTTGGTAAACCACTCTGAGGTTTTTTGGATGATCAAACAGCGTAAATCTTGTGAAACAAAAAATAAATAAATGTTGGTTTATATCCCGCCTTTCCCCCCAGATTGAGACTCAAGACGGCTTGCACAAATTAAAAGGAGACAGGTAAAATATAAAAAAGCTAAAAATGTACAAAAGACAACTGGTAAAAGTAACTACACTCTAGTAGAATTAGAACAAGATAAAAAAATTAAAATACACTTGGATTCTGCACCCAAGTTTTAAGTAATTCCTCAAAAGACAGACCCTTCCAACCTAAATTAGTAATTACATTAGTAGTTACTAATTACATTAGTAATTACTAATTACATTAGTAATTTAGTCAGCACAGGCCAGCTGACTTTAAAAAACGTAAATAACTACATAAAATAAATAAATGGCGAAGCACTTTTTTTGTGTGGCTAAGCAGCCATTTTGCAAGCTGGATCAGGCCACCGGCCCATCCAGACCAGCATCCTGGTCTCACAGTGGCCAAACACCCCCCAAAAGCTGGGAAGCAAGATAGACTGCCCCTGGACCTGGAGGTTCCATAAGAACACCGGAAGAGCTGAATCAGTCCAGTGACTCAACTAGTCCAGCTTCCTGTTCTCACAGTGGCCAACCAAATGCCCCAAGGGGAAATCTCAAACAGGACCCAAACACAGGAGCAACGCAGCGTCCATCAACCGGCATTGAAAAGCGCCGCTGCCTCCAGCTGTGTTGACAGAGCACGGCCACCCTGGCTGGCAGCCATCGGTAGCCTTCTCTTCCTGCATTTAATTTGTCCAATCCTCTCTTAAAACCATCCAAGCTGGTGCACATCGCTGCATCCAGTAGCAGTGAGTTCCGCAGTTGAACTCTGCGCGAAGAAGTCCTTTCTCCTATCCTCCCCGAATCTCCCAGGGTTCTGGCGTTGGGAGAGAAACTCGATCCACTGTAGCCCGACCTCAAAGGGGTGTCGCTGCACCGTCACTTGTGGGAAGATCTCATGCACAGCCACCCGGGCAGAGCCCACAGAGTATTGGGGGGGGGGGAGAGAGAGAGGGTGCCACAACCCGGTGACGCCACGACTTCTGCACACAAGATGCCCTGCTAATTGCCCACTGTGTTCTCCCCAGGACTGACCGTAACAACCAGCTTGAAAAGCGGAGGAAGAGATTTGCACCCGCGCCCTGTCCTCCAGGGGTTTGGATCCACGGCGCGCTTCCTGAACAACAGCCAGCCTCGTGGCAGGCCACGCATCCCGTCAAAGTAGGTCAAGGATCGGTGCCAAGTCGGGCTCCGCCAAGGATTCAAAGAACAGAGGGCAGCCTCCCACAGCTGCTCCTCCTGCTCAGAGTAGACCCACTCTGGTTAACCAATGTGAGTAGCTCAGCTGCCACTAGATTTGGGGGTGGGGGGGAATGCAACTCGGAGCTTAGGCTCCAAATAAGCCCTACTCGAGAGTAGACCCACCAAAATGGACAAATTAAAGTTAGGGGTATTTGATTTCACTGGGCTTACTCCTGCGCAGAGACAACCTGGGGCGTTCCCAGGAGGTCTTCCTCCTTCCCAACAGCCCTTAGATAATTTGGGTTCTCCCAACCCTCTGGGGTCGAAGATATAAGCCTATCCGATCCGTAAAATAGACAGGTCTCTTGTGGTTTCGGAGAATATGCACCTGTGAAAATGCCCTCCACCCTTGTTGCACTGAGTGGACAGAGAAATAAAGTTTATAGGTTTGGGTGGGTAAGGTTAAAGCCATTGATATAAACTAACTTTCTAGTCCTCAGGATCCTGAGCAAAGGGCTAGCTTTAAATAGGAGCAAAGGAAGCTCACTGGGTCCACTCAGCTCAGCAGACACTGACTGGCAGCAGCGCTCCAGGGTTCCAGGGAGGGAGTCTCCCAGCCAGCCCTTCCGGGAGACGCCTTCAGGACTCGAACCCAGAACCGATGATGCACGGTGCAGAGAAAGTGGGCAGAGAAACGGGTTTCTCCCTTCTCCTCTCTCGGAACACCAGAACTCGAATTCAGGACAGTTAAAAAGCCCTTCTTCACTCAGTTAAACTATGGAACTCCCTCCCAGAGATGGCCAGCAATTTAGGAGGAGGGGAGGGCTTCCGATGGCTCCTAGTCGCAACACAGGCGGAGGCTTCTAAAAGCAGTTTATGGAAACAACAGAAGGGAAGAGAGATGCTCTTGGGTTCAAATCCTACTTGCGAGTTTCCCACGGGGGCGTGAGATAAGCCACTGCGGGAAATGCTGCAACGGAAATAAAGCCATTGGTCCGAGGGAACTCTGCGCACTTAATGCGGGCGTTTGGGATGGGCTAGTGACTCTGAGCACATCGGCCGGGCGCCTGGGCTTCTCTCTACGCAAGCAGACCATGTGCCCCCACCTCCTGCCTCCGATGATGCGCAGCCAACAGACAAATGCAGCCAGACTATCAAAGGGGCAGAGATTTTCTGCCGCACACATTTCCCCCCCACAAATAATTACATCAGCGAGAAAGCCTTTGGTTTGTTTTTAAAAAGATCCTCCTTTTGCCTTGCTTTTCCTGGATACCAAAGCTGCAAATCCCATTGGCCTTATGCTTCCCGGTTCCCCATTCATGCATACAGCCCTCCCAGTAAATCAGATCCATTCATCAGCAAATCAGAAGGTGGCTTAACCCTCTGTTGCCCAAGAAGATCTGAGCTCTTCTTTGTGCAGAGCATAAACGGTGGAACTCGCTGCCACATGAGGCAGCGATCGCCACTAACCCAGACAGCTTTAGAAGAGGATTGGGCAAATTCATGGAGGAGGAGGGGGCTAGGGGCCACAAAATTTGATTTTACGCACACCAAAAAAGAGAGAACAGGGAGCCCTAACACTTGCTCTCTGGAATTTGTCTTGCTACCCAACAAGGTCAGGGAATATGAGGCAAGACAGTCTCCAGGAATGTTGCAACAGAGACCGGACCTCTGTCAGGGATGCTGGAAATTCCCAGCACTGAACTGGGAATAGGTACTGGCTGATCCCCAAACCACCTTCAATTTCTTATGATTCTTACCTATTTCTGGTGGTTGGCATGCTCATGATAAATAAGGATAAAAATCAGGTATCACTCAAATTCCAGAAAAACGAGCACAGAATATGGAGTAAATCCTATAGGTGCGATTCACTTATCAGTCAATAAACAAGTGCACACCCTTTTTTTGCTGCTGCAAAGCTGCACGCTTACTTCAGAGAAAGCCCCACTGAAGCCAGTGAGGTTTACTCCTGGGTAAAAGCATGCCTGAAGTCTGTGCTGCAGGGCAGGCAGGCAGGTTTTGAGTGTTGCTAGTAGGAGCACAAAGAGTTTCCAAAGGCAGCAACAGGGCTTACTCCCGAGTAAGCATGCACAGGATCAGGTGCACGAGAAGGAACCCTTTCTGCTGCTGCTACTACAACAGCTTGCGACTGAAAAAGCTTAGCATCCCGTTTTTCCACAGCGGCCACCAACCCCACAAGTGGGTTTCCAGAAAGCCCACAAGTGGGTCATGGAGAAGCTGGACTTCAGTGCTAAACTGCTCCTGAACAGAGAGGCTCTACTTAGCTGTTCTAGTTAATAGCCACTCATCAAATTATTAGACACAAACTTGTCTAACCTCTCACTGCTGTTGCCACATCTTGTGGCAGTGAAGGTTAATATTATTACTTAATAATAGTAAATCAGCAACACGACACCAACTGTAGAATTCATTGAACGCAGGATGCCATCCTTGTGAATGTATCTAACAACTTCCATGAGCTCTCTCTATTCCTGGAAGTGCCCGGATAATGCCAGGAAAGTGAGATTGTGTGTGAGAAATACACAGAACCCAAACTTTCTCCCAGTTTGCAAAAATGTTATCTGTCTGGTCGGCTGGTCCTAAGCGCCACAGGCAAGCAGCTATCGATGAACTTGCAGGCTGCTATAGCTATAAAGCCAATATTTAATATATATATATATATACCCACAAAGAAATCTTAAAAGGTGTTTTCACAAAGCCAAATAAAAGCAAGAGTCTGTAACCATTCACAGGGATCTGGACCCATTTGGACTTATTTTTGAGCCGGCAAGCAAAGAATTTCAGCAAACAGGTCAGGATCCACCTATACTTTTAGCATCAGTGAAAGTTATCTATGCATCTGCTGACAAAACCTGCGACACTAAAGCATTAAATGACTGGCAAATTTTTAAGGTATACCAGAACATGCTCATATTATTATTATTTTTTAAATAAGTCTGCAGACATCAACCCAACAGAGCCTGCAAATCCTTTTCCAGGCAGGACTTAAGATTTTATGACTAGTGTTCGCAAGTTTATAGCATACAATAAAATGCTTTATTTGCAAAAGGCGTAGTAAAAAGAACAGACGCTAGTCTATCTGCACATTTATAGGGAGGGCGCCCCAAAGCGCTGCAAATGAAGTCAAATCGCATTCCTTTCTTTGAGCACAACTGCAAATATTTCAAAAAAATTACGTATCTACACTGCAAAAATTAAACAAGTCACAAATAAGTCAGTAGCTGCATAGGATCCAAGCTGGCTAGCCGTCCATTTCGACTTTGCTCCCAGGTAAGTATGCAATCCTAGACCCCCGGCCAACCTGGGAATCAAAGCCCCACAAAACTCAAACCGACTTTCTTCTGACATAAATGGTTGTGACGTCAGTTCAGATGTCAATTCCAATCCTAATGACCTAAAAGGGGGCGCTTTGGGTGGGACGACTGTACATAAATTTCTCCCGATCCTTCCCCATACCACTAATCCGACCCCTTTCGCCTCCTTCGCCGGCCCCGATTCATCCGCCGCCCCCGACCCCGATCTCCCCAATGCAGAGGTAGGAAACACCACCAGACGACCGACGAGTTCCCGAAAATTAAAGGAACGGAGAGATAATCCGGATTCCTCCTCCTTCCCATATCCCCCACTGCTGCACCGAAAGCTCTGAAATCAGAAAGTGCACTCTGCACGCGCCCAGAGGCGGCTCGCCATCGCCGCGAACGATGTTCCGCAGATGGAGAAAACCTGCCTCAATTCTAAAAGCACCATACATATATACATATATATTTACACTCGTATTATAGAATAGTATATAATAAATATATAGTATATATAGTATATAGTACATATATTAGTATATACAGTATATATAAAAGCAGGATTGGGGCTCTGAGCCCCTCAGCCGGCAGGATCCGGGCCGGGGCTCCGAGGCGGAGGCTCCCTCCGCAGCGATCTACTCACCAGCTCCTCTCGGCGGCTCTGAGCTCCTGGCTTCCCGGCTCAGCCTCTCCACCAAGGCGGGCTCAGGGCAGGCGCCACGCGGCCACGTGCGGCGCCGCACGTGCTGCCCGGGCCCCGCCCCGCTCGCCTTTCATCCGCCCCCCGTGGAACGCCCAGCCGATACATTGTAGCGCGGCTCCGCGTTCCGAGCGCCCCCATTGGCCCTCCGCGCTCCGGCGCCGCCCAATCCCCCCGCCGCCCCGCGCTCCGATTGGCCAAGCCGGGAGGAGCGAGGGCGCAGGCTGCTACATGTGGCCTGCACGGGAGAGAAAGAGAGCGAGCGGAGGGCTGGCGGTGGGGTGGCCCGCCCCGTGTCTGGAGCCGGCGGCTTCCGCACGTGGCAGCGGCGTGCCAGCCGGAGTCAGGGAGGCGAGGCAAGCAGGCAGGGCGGGGAGGAGCCAGGGAAGATCTCTGGGGTGGAGATCCTGACGTGAGAAGAAACATGGGAACGGGGGGGGGGGGGGGACGTGGGTAGAGGGAATGGTCAGTGGGGCAGGGACCCAAATGTCATAAGGAACGGGGGGGGGGGTCGAGTTAAAGGGGGAAAAAAACCCTGGATGTACATTTCTAAAATATAAGGTTAAAAACGAAATAAAACCTACATACAGTCATACCTCGGATTACAGCCGCTTCAGGTTGCATATTTTCAGGTTGCGGACTGCCGAAACCTGGAAGTACTGGAACGGGTTACTTTAGGGTTTTGGCGGTTGCGCATGCGCAGAAGCGCTAAATCGTACTTTGTGCATGCGCAAATCTCACCCGCGCGTACGCAGATGCAGGTTGTGAACGCTTCAGGTTGCAAACGTGCATCCCGCACGGATCACGTTCGCAACCCGAACATCCAATGTAATTGTTTCGCTATTAATACACTTCTTAATTGTTTTTCACTATTAATATACTTTTACTTAGTTGTATTTCAGTTCAACCATTACTTTGAAAAAATACAGTGGTACCTCGGGTTAAGTACTTAATTCGTTCCAGAGTTCCGTTCTTAACCTGAAACTGTTCTTAACCTGAAGCACCACTTTAGCTAATGGGGCCTCCTGCTGCCGCCGCGCCGCCGGAGCACGATTTCTGTTCTCACCCTGAAGCAAAGTTCTTAACCCGAGGTACTATTTCTGGGTTAGCGGAGTCTGTAACCTGAAGCGTATGTAACCCGAGGTACCACTGTACATATTTTGTTATGTGCAAATGGCTTTAGATACCCATTAGGTCCATAAATCGCCATATAGCATATATTCAACACAAAAAAACAGTGACAATTTGTTGTTGACAAAGGGCAGCTGGACATATAAAGGGCCCCATTACCTTCAGGAGCTGAGGGTCTCATCAAACCTAAATCTGGCCCGGGGTGTGAGTGAAGGGATGATCAGTGGGGCAGAGACCCAAATGACGTAAGGACTGGTCAGTAGGGAGAGCAGGTGGGTGCGGTAAGAATCCGTGGGGCAGCCATGCCTGGCTAGCTCAGTTGGTTGGACTATGAGTAGGCCAAGAGAGAACAGGTTTCTCATTAGGGAAGGGCGGACACGGGGCAGGAATGATAACATAAGAACCCCACTAGGTCAGATTGTGGGGCCCAGCATTCTGCAATGGTGAGCTGGATGTTCCCAGGAAGCCTGCAGTGCAAATGGGTCAGGAATCAGAGGCAGCCCCCCTCTCTTGTTCATCCCCCCAGCAGCTAATATTCAGGGGTAGACTGGCCCTGTATATGGAGGTTCCACCTCTCACCATCAGGTGGAGAGATTTCGCCTGTGTGAATTTGCCTAATCCCCTTTCATCTAAAAGAGGGGCAGGGAGGCAGCACTACATCATGTGGCCAGGGCCGGATTTAGGTTTGATGAGGCCCTCAGCTACTGAAAGGGACGCGGGTGGCGCTGTGGGTTAAACCACAGAGCCTAGGGCTTGCCGATCAGAAGGTCGGCGGTTCAAATCCCCACGACGGGGTGAGCTCCCGTTGCCCGGTCCCTGCTCCTGCCAACCTAGCAGTTCAAAAGCACGTCAAAGTACAAGTAGATAAATAGGTACCGCTCCGGCGGGAAGGTAAACGGTGTTTCCGTGCGCTGCTCTGGTTCGCCAGAAGCGGCTTAGTCATGCTGGCCACATGACCCGGAAGCTGTACGCCGGCTCCCTCGGCCAATAAAGCGAGATGAGCGCCGCAACCCCAGAGTCGACCACGACTGGACCTAATGGTCAGGGGTCCCTTTGCCTTTACCTTTAAGCTACTGAAGGTAATGAGGCCCTTTATATGTCCAGCTGTCCTTTGTCAACAACAAATTGTCGCTGTTTTTGTGTCTTGGATATAGGCTACATGGTAATTCATGGACCCATTACTTACATCATAGGAGCCTACACAACACAAAACAAAACAAAACACTGTTGCTGTATGTAGGTTTTATTTTATTTGTTTTTTATCTTATATTTTTGAAATGTACATCCAGTTTTTTCCCTTTAATTTTTTTTGGGGCCCCCAAAAGAGTGGGGCCCTAAGCTATAGCTTCTTTAGCATATACGTAAATCCGGCACTGCTTGTGGCAACGAAACTCCCTGAAAAAAATAATAATCATGCAATAGGTGAAGAAAAAACAAACACACTCCTTGTCTTTTGTCGGCCCTGAACGTAAGGACCACCCCGCTTCTGGAACCTTTAATTATCACTGTCCTTGTTTTCAAAAGTCCCTTCGTCAGAAATGAAATTGCCGGCTGCGTCAGGAAAGGTATGCACCGGAATTATTTCTAGTCTGCTTATTAAAATGTTCTTGCATCGCCAAGCAAAGAACACAGCTTTGAATAAATAAGAAAAATGGGTGGCAGTTTTAAGCAAGAGGCGGTGGTGTTGCTTTATGAGACAGGCTAGGACTGGATCGCTTCTGCAAAACAGGAACTTTTCAAAAACTACTTCCCTGCTTTGATGGCTACAGAAGGGAATTAGCTGAATTGGGAGCTGCCAGACCACTGAGGTCCATCTACGGTAACTCAGGGGTAGGCAAATTCCGGCCCTCCAGATGTTTGGGACTACAATTCCCATCATCCCTGACCACTGGTCCTGTTAGCTAGGGGTGATGGGAATTGTAGTCCCAAACATCTGGAGGCTGGAGTTTGCCTATGCCTGATCCAGCTCATTACTGCGACTGACAAGGGCTCTCCAGGGTTTCAGAAGTGGGGGGACATTCCCAGCCCTTAAGATGCTACCAGAAATTGAATTGCATATTCACCAGTGATTTATTTGTGGTGCCAGCAATAAATTATTATTTTTAATTTAAAAAATGGAACCCCCATGAGCAGGGGCCGTCTATCTCCATTTTTTGCTCATCATCATTTTTTATCATTGCTGATGTGGCCTTTGATGAAGCTCCTCCGGATTTCCCTAAGGACCTTTGAAAGCCATTGCCACATCCTGTGGGAGTTCCACAGGTTGCGTTGCTCATTGCATCGAAAACCAGATCTTGCGTAAAGAACTTCTCCTGCCCATGGAAAATCAAAGGGCGGCTCTGTGGCCTCATGACCCACTTCTTGGGCTTCCTGGAAGCATTGCCGGCTGCTGTGGGGTGCTGCCCCAGATGGCCCAGATCACTTTGATGCACGAGAGCTCCCACTCTGTTGTTCCTGCAATTCCTGCTCCCCCCCCCCCCACTTTCCACAGAGCCAAACCTGTTGCTCCTCTGCCTTGCTGCCCCATAGCCAAGCTCTGATTCTACCTCTCAGCTCCTCCCCACTGATCCAAGCAGGTCAGGATGTTCCAACAGTCTGACATAGTAAGGCTCTTCCAGCAAAAACGAGTCACTTTGCTGTTACGCCTAAGTTTGGAACAAAAGGAACTGAGTCAGACCTCTGGGTCCATTTAGTTCAGCATTGCCAACACTGACTGGCAGCGACTCCCCAGGGTTCCCGGAAAAGGCTTGAACCCCTGGGACCTTTTCTGCAGGAAAAGCAGGCTCTCTGAGCTTTCCCTGTGAAATGAATAAGGTTCTCGTCCTCTAGTTACGCCTAAGTATGGAGCAAAAGGAGCTGAATCAGACCTCCGGGCCCATTTAGCTCAGCATTGCCAACACCGGCTGGCAGCAACTCCCCAGGGTTTCCGGAAAAGGCTTGAAGCCGGGGACCTTTTCTGCAGGAAAAGCAGGTTCTCTGAGTCTTCCCTGTGAAATGAAACAAGATTCTAGTCCTCACGAATAAAGTCAGAGCAATTGGCCCATCAAGCTCAGTATTGTCTACACTGACTGGCAGCAGCTCTCCGGGGTTTCATTTTTTTTTTTATAAGATATTTATTGAAATTTTCAAAGTATTACAAAATAAAAAAAGAAAAAAAAGAAAATACAAAATAAAAATGGTTAAAAACAACTCAATCTTTCCATTACTTATTTTTCATTAGCTTATTTCCCGGACCTCCTCACGCCTCCCTTTTTTGTATTCCAATTCGGTTTGTTGGTTCAGCAAATCCTTACCCTCTTTGTTTATCCTAGTCTTTAATCTTAAAATATTGTAACGTTAAATTTTTACCTATTAATAATCCATTTTTCATATTCTCTTATAGTATTACAGCTGAAAACCACTTAATTTCTATCCAACATCATTCTAACATTCATTAATTTTACAATATTTCTGTAGATAGTCTTTAAATTTCTTCCAATCTTCTTCCACCGACTCTTCTCCCTGGTCTCGGATTCTGCCAGTCATTTCCGCCAGTTCCATATAGTCCATCACCTTCATCTGCCATTCTTCCAGAGTGGGTAGATCTTGTGTCTTCCTATACTTTGCAATAAGTATTCTTGCTGCTGTTGTGGCATCCATAAAAAAAGTTCTATCCTTCTTTGGCACCAATTGGCCGACTATGCCTAGGAGAAAGGCCTCTGGTTTCTTCAAGAAGGTATATTTAAATACCTTTTTCAATTCATTAGAGATCATCTCCCAGAAAGCCTTAATCCTTGGGCACGTCCACCAAAGGTGAAAGAATGTACCTTCAGTTTCTTTACATTTCCAACATTTATTATCGGGCAAATGATAGATTTTTGCAAGCTTGACTGGGGTCATGTACCACCTATATATCATTTTCATAATATTCTCTCTTAAGGCATTGCATGCCGTAAACTTCATA